CTAGAAATGAAGAGTACGCGTCAAGATCGTGTATTAAACGCCTGTAAGAAGGCAACCGCTCTCTTACATACATGGCGGCGCACCCTTCTGAACGCTCAATCGCTATTTGTTTATAGCTTCAAATAACAGTGGAAAAAACAAATTTTCACACTGCAATTACTCATAATTTGTAGTATTTAACGTGAACTTTCAAACGCCGTCAGCAGAATTACAAAATACCTATTCAATCAAAAGTTATTAACAATTGAAAATCGCAAAAATCGCATTTTTCGAGTTTTTAACGGCGTTTATCTCGAAAACTATGCGTTTAACAAAAAAATTGCAAGAGACATTTTCTTTTTAAAATGGGTCAAATAACAAAAAAGTACTTTTTATTTTGCCAAAAACTAAGTTCAGTATTTTGCAATTTTTTTGTTAATAAAAAACTTATCGACATCCGGGCAAACTTCTACCCAAAAAATTCGTGTTCTGCAGCTCAAAATACATAAAAAACACTTGGGTAACTCCATCTAAATAAAGGAGGCAATTGGGACCCCTCTGGCTACAGGACTATGAGCTTATATGCAAATTTTTAGGAAATTCCATGCTATGCAAAAAAATTGTGAGCCTTTACCTTATTTTCGCCTTCAGTGACTGGACTATATCGGGAATTAAAAAAAAAAAGCATTTTGAAGCTCTATTGATTCTAGTTTTTAGATCTTTCGGTCGAAATTTTTTAGGTGCTACGGTTATCAGGAAATTATAATAGCGCGAGAAAAAATTTTACAATTTTTTTTCTCATTCCACGGATTTACATGCACCAGATAGCTTGTTTATTCAGCTTCAATATCCTTTTTTTTATTTCGATACGACCATTTTTCAACGAAATATCGGGCTTTTAATGGAAAAGGATCCTTTTGTCTTCAATCATCGATATCTCGGCGAGAAATGGTCGTACAGAGAATTGAAGGGCAGTTTCGAAAACTGGAATAAATCTGCCTCAACATTTTTTTTCATCTTTTACACGAATTTTGAAAAACAGGAAAAAGAATGCTTTTAAATTTAGTTACCTACTTTCCAATATCGATGTTCTGTAGGCATGCAAAGTAGCTCTGACCATCGCGTATATTGACCATAATGAAGAAGATTTCATACTTTTGCTTAATTCAGAAAAATGTACCAATAGTTCATTTTCTGAAAAAGACAATGTTATTCTCAGCTCGATAATCAATAATTTTTTTATATGTTTGCTAATAAATCTTCCTCGACTTTTCTGGTAATAAACTACATTCTATCTTCTTTGCTGCTTCAATAATTTCTGGCGGAGTTAAGTGAATTCTTCCATCTCAAATAATAAATAGTTATTTGTATGGGTCTGGCTAGCCCGACTATTCCAAAAGTCTAAAGACTGAGATTCAGCCCTTGTCTACCACACTATGTTTATGGTAACTGTATACATAACACTGCACTACAAAGAAAATTTAAAGGCCAATTTCCATTCATAGTCTCACAAATTACCGGTAATTATAAAAAAAATTCAAACACGAAGTTAATGGAATTTTTTAACTTGCATTATCTTGTATTATCTTGTATTATCAGTGGGAGACATCTACGTTTCTATTTCTAAAATTAAATTTAAATAGAAAAAGACAGAGGGACACGTCGATATCCCCCACAGAGAAAAATATAAATAGAGTTCGATGCCCACAAAAATCACACAATCATCAAAGATGAAGTTCCAGAGCATTGTTCTTGTGGCTCTAGTAGCAATCGTGGCAGTACATGTGAGTAGTTCATATAATTGTTAATTTGTTTTTTGGTTTTTTTCTTTAATTGCGCGTGGTGAAATTTTTACATAATATTTGCTGCTCGTAGAGTTACCACAAATGTTTCTCAAAATATATCAAGGAAAGCTGTATAGAATTTAATTTTACCGACATAAAAGCTATTGAAGGAAATAAGTACTAAATTTGTTTAATAGACATTTTCCTATAGAAAATAATAATTTATAATTCCAGCTAATAGGAATATTGTTTACTACTATTGCACACATACTTTGAAATTATAATCAGTTAGGTACATCGAGTTAACTTCTGGTGCTTAAATATCTGTATTTTATGCCAGAACTATTGACATTGTAACTAAATTTTCGAAACAGATAAGAATTTAACACAAACTTGTCTCTGTATAGACCACTATGTAAAATTCAAATTCTTATCATCAAAATAACATAATATGTACCTATATAGGTAGAAACTTTTATAGTTTTTATTTTATTCAGACTAATTGAAAAATGTATATAAATATATTTTAGAAAAACTGGGAAACAACACTACTTATTTTCGCTTTATAAAATTTAACCTAACTTTTTTTTGAAGTACACTGTCTACCTCGTCACATTATTATCCAAATAATACGTTTAATTTTTTTTTCAAAATTTAATTAAGTACAAAGCTTAAAGTATGATAATATATTACAGTTAAAATAATAATTTTGATGTCGGTTTCTTTTATAATCCAGAGTACCAGAAACTTGCAAATATTTTAGTTATGTTGGTCCTACTGATACCAAACAAAATTTCCAATGTTTTCTGTTAGCATCTTTTCCCGTAGGAATAGTGACTATTTCTGACAGAAGTAACTGTAGATTATTATTTACAGGCGGTGCCTTACTTTGGACCTGAACACCATCAAAGGATTGATCGCAGACGTGAACATCACAACCACCATGATTCGTGGAGGCACGCTCCAGAAGATCACCATGCGAGGATAGTGCCATATGTAGAGGAAGACCCATCTTCACCCCCACCACCTCCTAGTGATGAACCGTCCCAACCAAGTGACGGATCATCCCCACCACCACCTCCTAGTGACGAACCTATAGTAAAAGAAGATCCATCTTCACCCCCACCACCTCCTAGTGATGGACCGTCCCCACCAAGTGATGGATCATCCCCACCACCACCTCCTAGCGACGAACCTATAGTAAAAGAAGATCCATCTTCACCCCCACCACCTCCTAGTGATGAACCGTCCCCACCAAGTGACGGATCCTCTCCACCACCACCACCAAGTGACGAACCAATCGTTAAAGAAGATCCATCTTCTCCCCCACCTCCGCCAAGTGATGGACCGTCTCCACCACCACCGCCAAGTGACGAACCTATCGTTAAAGAAGATCCATCTTCTCCCTCACCACCACCAAGTGACGAACCTATCGTTAGAGAGGATCCATCTTCACCGCCACCACCACCAAGCGGAGAGCCATCCCCACCACCACCAACTGATGAGCCTTCATTAGCTCCAGAAAGTCATTCCTGGTTTAAATCTGTAAAAGGTTTATTCCATCAGTAATTAGTATAATGTTAATGTATAATGGATATTTTCATAGATATATATAATATATTTTATTATTAGCTCACATATTTTTATTCTTGAGGTTTTAAGCAAATTCCAACAAGTCATATCAAATGAAATCAAACAACATTCTACGATATCGGAAATCTAAATATTATGCATACAAGTTGTCCCACTAAGGTCGGCGATGCACGACACCAGAACTTTGGGGAAAATTGTGTTGAATAAATCGACCTAGAGAAATCGCTGGAAATGGTTTTCAAGTCCGTAGTTTGGCCGCTAGGGGCGCAATCTACATACCAAAACATAGAGTTGATTTTTTTTTAGAAATGAATAGCCGGATTCATTGCGCGTAACTTTTGTTATTGACATTTTATTCTATCTCTCGACCAAAAGGGTGGGGGAAGTCCCTAATATCTGATAAAAAAATGTATTTCTTAGAGGATTGGCTCATCAACAGCCCATGGTGGTATACCTCTTTGAAAAGGACTTTTCATGTTTTATCTCGTGGTGAATGCGTATTGCGTGGAAACCTATAAATGGCGTTATTTCAAAAGAATGCCGTTTTATGGATTTTTCTCAAAAATTTTAAATGCAATGCTATACGTATACATAAATGAATTCAGCACAAAAATTTTATGAATATATGATATGTTTGAAATTTATAACGAAAGTGTTTTTATTTATTGGCGCTATTTATCCAAGCTTAGGATAAAACTTTTTATAAATTAGTTTGAAGAGCATAAAAATAGCTACATTTTGACGCCAAAGAGGGTTCGATATATTTTTTTGTTATCAAGTTATTCGCAAATTAGTGAGCAAAAAATAAATAATGATAATGAATTGAGGAACACGACACTAACGAAAAGACATTTAATTACCAAAATAAAATACGTTCATAAAAGAATCTACCTAAACACGCAGCGAAGGTTAAATTCCTGGACTGAAAATAATAGTATACATTTCGAGCAATTATTATTATATTTCTGTGGCAAAAAAGCAAAAAGGTCTACTTAATCCCCATTTGATATTTTTATTGCCATATGTCCAGAACAATACCTGCCATCAAATGCCAAAGGGATATAAGTCCCATATAACCAATTTTATTTTATAGCCCGATTTCCAAATGAATTATGTATACTTATATCTTCACATTTACTATGAACTGAACAAAAATCTATTTTGCATAATATCAAATAGATGTAAGTGCACCTATAACTATGTTTATTTACCTATGCTACATCCTTTCCAACAATATACAATAATCAATTTTAGAATCTCATCTTAATACTAATTGTACGAATAATAAGCATAAAGAAGTAATAAAACATATACTCGATAAGTAATGAGTTTCGAGAACAATAATACAGTACAATATTTTATAAAATATTAACATACAATATATCATATATCATCATTTATGTGTACTTAACTTTACTTTATGAAAATTTGGAAGCAGTAGACAGAGATATAGATCCCGATTTAGAAAGGCTACTTAAGTGAGACAGAAGATAACGAGTTTTAACTTATCTGTACTTATAAAGTTTTTTTAATTAAACTGTTATGTGTTTTTAATATATTTTTATTATAAGCCCACCCCTCAGAAATAATTATTACATATCTACCTATAGGGATGGCCAGAAGTACGGAATAAAAATCATATATTTTTAATTTTTTTTTTTTTTAAAATGCCGAAACCCGTTAACTGATTTTGATTTTTTCCCAACTTTCGGTTATATAATAATTAATTTTTCTTCATCCTCCTAACCCCCACCTACCCCCACTTTTTTTTCAAATGAAACATAAGGCATGAGGGGGCTCGTTGAAAAGCTCATAGAAAACCGAATCCAGCCATACCAAATAAATAAAATAGCAAGTTTCTTTTTCATTTAGAAATTGAAACAACTAGATAATTTACAAAAATAAACTCAATGTCGCAAATGCTGAAAATGTCCTCCATTCACTATTTGGCATCCTCCAAGACGATAGTGAAAGCTGTCCACAGCATTCTGTCTTTTCAATCTCATTTGATTTTGCACATCTAGTAGTTTCCCATAATTTTCTACTGGATGACAAAAATTTCAAAGAAGCAAGAACATTCTTAATAAGCATTCAAAAGTTTTTTTATCGAAAAAATGTAGGTACTTAAAAAAGAATCTAATAAAAAATGTGCAGGGGGTAGTTCATTTCAACGTCTTATAATACGAGGACAATAAAAAAAATACTCTTCTAGAAGAAGCTTTATTATGACAAATTTTACTTTCTAAATTTCAAACTGTTTGGAAATAAATAAAGCTTTACATATTTCACCCCCTTTTAAGGGGGTGAAATCGTAACTCCTTAAATCAAAAAATCTTATATGAGGGACCCCTTTTTGCACATTATTTGGAATCACGCTGTACATACTTGTAGGTTTTATACACATTGAAATTTAGCCAAATGATTTATAATGATTGCAAAAATATATTAGTAATTCAAACTACAACCTACATACAAAATTTTATATTTTGCTTTAAGGTGGCCATATTCCTGGCCGAGAAATAGTGAAATTTCTGTCGTTTTTAGGTACTGAAATCTTTAAAAGTAAAACGTGTAGAACAAAAGTAAGCACAAAAATAAAATCCTTGATGTTTTGTTTATTCATTGTTACCATTTAAATTTACTCAAATAAAATAATAACTAAAAAAGCGTTTGTAAAACATGCGTTTGCTGTTATTCTAACTCCACATTTTAAGAATTATTTTCACGTACTTATAAATAAAAGTAAACAATTTTATATGTAGGACTAAGCAAGTAAATGTTATAACAATATTTACATGTGGAATTATATATAAAAAAGTTAGTATTTTCGTAGATTTCAGTACCTAAAACCTTGATGGTTTGATCGTTTTTTGCACCTGTTTATTCGTTTTACTGCGGCGTCTTTGAAAATACTCAGGTGGCATGACATAACATTCCTATTATTTGATTAGCTTTAGATTATTCAGTTATTAAATGGTTTGAAATTATTTGTCTTTGAGGAAAACACTATTTAAAGAATATGGGGCCCTTAATTCTAAATTTATTTATACTACAACCAGTGCAATCACAAATAAAATATGAAATATCTCCTTATCTCGTAAGAGAATAAATTTGGATTTTATTGGTATTGACCTGAACATCACTCAAATTTTTTCGTGAATGAATAGAAATCCCTTATTTATGGTCAACATCTGACATACACGTGTGGCGTCCGGCGTCTTTGCGTTTTCTCAAAAAAATAAGATACCTGTATAAACTAATAAATCCATTGTGTTTACATGCATTGCGCTTTGCGAATACCTACAGAATAAACAGAACCATTTTTTATAGTTTTAGGCCTGTAAATTATATAAATTCTAAGTAAATCTTGAGATTTATTAAATGATTATGTGTCTCTCTCGGCTCAGTAGTTTTATCTTCGGTCCTTAAAGTTTTATATTTTCGATTTGTAGGTGTTAGAACTGTGTTTTATTTTAGATTTGGTGGTGGTTTGTAATCTGAGGTGGTAAGTATTTGCAAGGGGTGGGGGGGAGGTGGTCGCGTTTAAGATAGTTAGCCCAGGGCGGCCGAAACCTTAGAGACGGCCCTGCTTATAACAGTTATAAATGGGTTGGAATACTCATCTTGTAATATCAGAAGGGCACATGTCTACTTATACCCTTTTGTCTTTTTACAGATTTTCTTTATTTATGTCATATGTGCACTTAACCTTACTTTATAAAAATTTTGTATCAGTAGGTAGAGAACAGAGATAGATCCCGATTTATAGCAGTTTTTCAGTGACAATTTATTGATGAATAAATTGACGAAGTTCTTCATGAATTAATTCACGAATTTATTGGTAAACAGTGTAGTTTTACACTGCTACAGACTTCAAGTTTTTTGACGCATGAATCAGTTCTACCAACGAATCAAAGAAGCAAATAAATTTGAAAAATGTCACCTTTCCACTCATAATTGTAGTGATACAACAGCGGTACCGTTTTGACACATATCTATTATATAAATATTAGTATTTGTAAGTAACAAATCAGTAAAAACAATGCAGAACTTGTAAGACGCTACACAATTATTTACATATTCCAATAACATAACCTCATTACTGATCTGAGGCTGAAAATCTGTTGAGTTGGTACTTCCGAACTTCACGAAGAAATCGACGAAAATTAGAACATGCTCTAATTCGTGAAGAACTTGAATAAATTCATGAAGTTATTTGACAGCAGATTTGGTGCATTACATTTGTCCATTTTCTTGATGAAGCGACTTCATAAATTAATTGATCAATAAATTGTCAGTGTTAAACAACTATTAGAAAGGCTACTTAAATGAGACAGAAGATAAGAGTTTTAACTTATACTTATAAATTTTTTTTTAATTAAATTGTTATGTGTTTTTAATACATTTTTATTATAAGCCCACCCCTCAGAAATAATATACATATCTATCTATAATGAACATAATAGTCTATATTCATGTCTACTTATATCGTTATGTCAATGTTGTAATCTGTGCAAAAAATTATTAAAATGGTTTACTTATCTTAGTCTGACTTTTATCAGATTTAATTATATAAAAATAATTCAAACATAAGTAATAAAATAAAATATTTCATAACTAACTATTTTAGCTACATTAAATTAAAAATTACATTTTTCTTTATATTGGCCCTAATTATTTTGGTGCAATCCTATTTATTGTTTACGGTTACTTTACAAGACAGTTTTTTGTTGTTTTACTTATATCTGTTTGTCTTTTTGCCACAGATTTATTATTATATCTTTACTTTTGTTAAAATTTAATTGTTTCTTTCGTTACATAATATTGTTTGTTTGTTATTGTTTTTGTTATTATTTTCAAGATTGTTATTGACTCACTCATTTATAGTCCAGGAAATACAGAGCTGGACGCGACTTTTTGTTTCGGCAAGCTGAATTTATCACTATAGATGCTAAATACTATGTACAATAACATATTAGTTTCCACAGTCATAAAAATGGGGGAAAGATTGTTTACAGGGTGGTTAATTGTATAATTTTTACG